TGTTGGAAACCGTATTGCTAAAAATGTTAACCGAAAAACGTTTAACCGATATTACTTATTCTTTATATTATCTGTTGAATTGCCGATAATTTACAGATATTGAAGCAGGTTTTTGTAGGTCTTACAGGATACACGAGAGTGCGGCATAGTTAATACATTAGTTTTCCCAATTTTCCCAAGGGAAATAATTCAATTGCCCTTTGCTGAAACACAAAAACAAGAAACTAAAAAATTCAATGACTTTTTTGGGTGCTTTGTTGAAAAAGAAAATGGTGTTTTGCTTTTTTTTTTCAAACTAATTTTTCGTTTTTGGGTTAATGTACTTCAATCTTTGCAGTCAAAAAATTATATGGTAGTTGTGTAGCCATCAGCCATTTTTGTTCAAAGTGGTATTTAATTACGAGGAGGATTAAATTTAATTTCAAAAATTATCATTTTGAATAATTTATTTCTTGCGCACCACATTCAAATCAGTATTTTAAAAAACTTTTCATTAGTTAAGTCACTCGAGGATATATTCTTTTACAGCGTTGATTAGAAGTCTGATAGTTCAGTTAAATATGGTTCAGTTTCAAAACAAAAGTGGCCAATTAGCTTACTTTGAAAAATAATTTATACGGAAGAAACCGCTACAAATCAGATTTTAAGAAAGATCATTTATCCACGAGGGATAGGACCAACATACGAGCTGTACAGCTCATCACGGCGAACTGCTGTTGTGCCCCTGCTTAAGAATTACATGCAATTTTTTTTGGTTATTTTTCTGGGCTGGGTAATGTTGCCTCACCCTCAAGCAACGAGCACAGATCATGGTGGGCCTCGAACATCCGACCTTTCGATTGAAAGGCGGAGACGTAACCACTTCACCACTGCTAACCATTTTCAAAGGTTATTTGTTTTTTTTTGTCAGTTTCAAAAGTCAAAATATTTGGCTGAAACAATTGAAAAAACGTTTAGGTTGATTGTAACACTATGTGGCCCGCTTTTTGCCTACGCATCTGAAAACAAAATAGTAGAAACATAACAATTATTATGTGAAATTTATTTTGCGTAATCTGGAAAACTTATCCGCTTTTCTTAATTTTAGAGTTGGACAAAAAACTGGTATTGAACGTATATTGAACTCATAGTGCACAATTTTGGCTATTTTCTATGATTTCGGGCATCTTGTCTAATTTCTGCAAACATTTTTTTATTTTCAATGCAATTATTTGGCAATCTTTTTTCTTAAAAATGGGATCTTCCCAACGACGTCAAGGGTAGCATTTATAAGAAAAACATCTGCAATTACTTATCAAAAAGGCGCCATCTGTCTTGCGCAATGCTAAAATGTAAAAATAGAGATTGAAAACGAACTTGATAAAAAATCTGGGCAGCACCATTCTTTTTCCTGGACCCCTGAGAGTATTTCAAAGCCACGAGAAACTGCTGATACTTGAGTATGGAATATTTGGCCATATTTGACAGATGATAAAATGATCGTATGTATCTTACCAAGAAATATTGAGCTCATGCTGAGATACTGCATAAAATTGACATTTTTAAATGAGTTTGGACATCTTATCTATTGTGACAAAGACTTTCTTGACGAGATTATTGGGCGCACCCCATTTTTGAGAAAAAAGACGAACAATAAAATTGATCTTCTATCTACGTACCAATTTCTAATTTTTTCTACATTGGTTTGGCAGTTTGAATTGCTTCTGCCGCAGCTGAAACAGAGAGAGTTACCTTGTTGCCTGAAAATTCTGAATATCTAGGTCCGACTTGATTTGAAGGAAAGAGCAAATTGGATACCGTACCAAAACTAGCTCACGACTGATTTAATTTGAGAAACGTTGCTTCAAAACTTTCTTTTTAAAGTTTAACAAGACTGCTCGTATTAGGGCGAAGCCCTGAATGTTCCGACTGCCTTTTAAGGTTTATGGAGCAGTAATAACATTAAAAATTGAATGTAAAAAAATGAAAAATTTTTTTTTCTAAAATTTAAATTACTTTTTTATGAAAATCATCCCCCCACACGCCATATAAAGAACAAAATGATAGATTTCGCTGCTTGTAACAAATCAATTATGGCAAATAAGTTTCTTTCAACCAATTTGGAACGATTTCTAAGACGGATTAACTCTCCGCTTACGCTTTAATAGCGCGAAATATATCGCGCGTTAATTGTCCCAAATTGGCCAAAATGGCAATCTTTAAACCCCCATAACTTTACGAAAAATGATCACAGGTGAAATATCTTTTCAAATTTGAGCTCAAGACAACAATACCTTTCGAATGATATTAAAAAATTCCGCCAAAAATGGCTAGTTAAAAGTCGAAATTTGCCTGAAGAAAAAAAACCCACCCCGAGCACAAATATTCCGTTATTTTTGTATCGAAAGTCGGAACAATAAGAATTGATTTAACTTTTTGCATATTACGATCGTTTGAAGCAACATTTTTTTCTTAATGCTAAGAAATTGAGCGTAGCGTCATGAGCGAGCGTGAATGCATGTGGATTATCCCAGGCAGAGTTGCTAGCTTCACTTGACCCTTATTTTTTTGTGAATGTTTCTGCTGGAATTCAATTTACTTCATTATTATTTTGATCAGAACAATCTGGCCGCTGACACAGCAAGGAATAAATTGTGTTTCTGACTAAAAAAACATCAGAGAATGTTTTTGCTGAACAAGTTTATCTAAAATCTCGTTTCTAAAAATAGAATTTTGGTTTCAGAGTCAAGTTTTGCAAAGATCTCTTTTGTTGATTTGAAATGTTTAATCAACTTTTTGCTGTATTTGACATAACTCGACCTTATAATAACATAACATAATAAAAAACACAATTCAGTTGAAGAGAAATTTATAAATGCCTGAAATAACAAAAAAACTTAAAATTTTTTTGAAGTTTGTTAAACAATTAAAAACGCTCTCAAAAACGCGAAAGAAGGAAGATCATCCATTATCATCCAATAAAAACCTCAAAATTTACTTTTGAAAAAAGTTAGAGAACAAATTGAAAGAAACGAATATGATTTATTCGCGCTTTTAAATTTTCCAATTCTTTTTGTGCGCTTTCAAAAGTGTATCGCAACTCTGAGGTTCGCGCTTGGTATAATTGTATAGAAAATTTTCATTCCAGTAACAATTATTGTAACATTTTTGAACAAGTTATGGATTTTTTTTCGTTATGATCTTTGAGAATTAAAATTCCATCGTAATTCATTTTCATGCTATTTGAATCATTTTTGTTGTCAATATATATTGTTTTATTTCTTAGAGTTTTTTTGCATATCGAACCTCGATTTTATAACTTATTTTATTGTAAGCGTTAAAATGAATTTACGGAAATTTTTTGAATGCGTAATTGCCTGAAACAACAAAAAAATAAAATTAGGGTGTAAAAAAGAAAAAAATGTAGTTAATCAGTTATTATCGATTGAGAATGATTTTTTTTGGCTGATAAAAATATACATCATAATTCATTTTTAATCAACGCTATCTATTGCCATCGAATTTCAGGAATATATACTGAAAAAACTAAATTTTGCAATTACTTTTTATGAAAGTCTAATGCCGACATCCTTAAATTTGACAAAAAGTCCAATACTCAACATCAGATATTGCTGCTAAACTTGTCGATATTAAAAAAATAATCTGCGCAATTTTATAGCACTTACCTAATTGAAGAGAAACAACAGTAACCAATTTTTGAGTACATGTTTTTTTTTATTTTGGGAAAAACGGCAGTTTATTTTCTTATACGCTTTTAGATCTTCCTACTCTTTATCTGCGCGTTTGTTAGGGTACCAAATCAGTGAGGGTCTCAGCCCGTATAAGTGTATCGAAAATATTCATTCCAATTACTTTTAGTTATCGTGGCCACACAATGCTTTTTTTTTAATTTTGAAAAACAAAACTGCATCATAACTTTTAGTGTTTATTTAAGCTTTGACAAAAAACTTAAGCATTTCTTTCAGTTTCAAGAAAAACTGGTCTGATAGCTTTCAAGTATTTTTTCTGTTCAAAAAACTTATTTTTCTATAATAAAAATAGTTCATTAATTTAAATTTTTATAATTTGTTTGAGTGTCTGTCAAATTTAAAATGGTTTATAAGTATACGGGTGAACCATTTAAAACATCGAATATTGAAAATGTCAGACGATGTTTTTTTCAATTTGATTTTTTTTGCAGAGTTTGTGTTCAAACGGTTGTGCGCTATATGAATAGTTATCAGCTTCAGTTGCTATGCAATGATTTTACTGATATTGAAAACTATAGAAAATTAACAAAATTTGTGTTAAATCTCTGATGAAATTTGTTCAGAAAAAAAGGGCTCACTGAGTTTTGCAGCAAAGTTAGCCGAGAAAAACAAAACTTAAATTTTTTAGAGAAAAAGGCACCTTACTATACTCAGAAACGAAAAAAAAATCAAGTTGAAAAAACCTGCAAAAAATCTTGAAACTCAATAATCGAGAGGCATAATTACATTACCTTAGAAGAAAGAATTTTTTCAAAACTGATTTGCTTGTTTGAAAGCAAACTGAAAAACTCCAAAATTTGTTTTCAGCCTATATCGCAAAAAGATTGGAAGAATAAATTAAGTGCCATATTTGAGGTCATTGATCGGCATTATGAAAAATGTCCTTTAAAGGATTTTTTGTTTTGGTTAGCATTTTCCTTAGAGAATAGAGTTGTCCTAAAAGTAAAAATAATTTAGAAAAACGATAAAGGACACAAAAAATCATTGCTTCACAATCAGTTTCAAATTTGTAATTTGGCACTGACCGAAACAAAAACCATACATTCGAAAGTTCCAGCAGCTTTTTTCATTGAGCTGGATGCGTAACCAATTTGAGAAAGGCATTGTATCGCATAGTTTTGCGCCATATGGCATAACTTCAGATCTTTAGATATTTCAAGGTTTTTGAATGTATCTTTACACACGGAGTAGAGAAAAAACACAATTGCAATCTGTGAGCGTGTGAAATAAAGTCGCAAGCCGATATAAAAATAGCAAAAAAAACTTTAAAACTGTTATCCGATTCATCATTTCTAAAAGCAAAATTTTAATAAATATGCCGGTAAAAGAGCACATAGGTTGAGATGATTTTTGGTTCTGCTTTTTTTTTCAACTGGCTGTTACATCTTTTGAATTTCTGTTTTGTTTTTCTTTTCAAATCTGGCCAGGTGTGAAATGTGACTTCAACGATTGCCAGCATTTGTAGTAGTTCTGATCCAGCACCTCGCATGTATCCAGGGCCCACTGGGTGCAAGACATGCTGAGTGATGACTCAAACATGAAGGACATGGTGTCGTCTGCTACTCTCTGAGGCAGGAGAGGGGACTGGCTAGAGGCGGCCTCAAAACAGCCGGCGTCTGGTCCATGTGCTGTCATCATGCTGTGGAGGGAAGCACCGCCGGGTTGAAATCCATCGCCCTGTGAAAAAAAACACAGAAGAGATCCAAGCGTATTTCAATCGCTTTTCTCTCGCCTGACATTACAAGGCAAAACTGTGCTCTGGATAGGTGAAAATTTTGGTGCGTGTGGGTCTATGGAATCCAGAAACAAGTCTTTAAACATGTGAAAATGTTGGCCATGTAATAGAATTGGCCTTGTTTGGTCTCGTAATGAGTTTCATTGCCTTTCGCTACCCCAACCTTCCTTTTTGGTACTAAAAAGGCGTAATAAGACAGCTCGTAAAAAGAAACAATTCGCAATCGACAATAACCACCGGCAACTCTAAACCGAAACTTTTAAGTTTGAAAATAATTTCCAAATCTTTAGTTTCCTTAAATTTCCTTAAATTGTTGCTTTTTCAGTTGTCTTTCGCTGCGAGTTTGGCGAAGGATGTCTTAACCAATATTCAGTAAAAAGTATTGGGGAAAATGAGCACAATGTAATTCTTTAATAAAAAAAGAGAATTTTGCCTTGCCTCAAGCAACGAATGCAACAGTAAAAAAGTGGTTGTCACAATGCGACTCATATCAAATTGGGATTTGATCCTCGCTCTCACCTTCGCCTCATAAGCTCCGTGTATCAGTCCCATGAACTCACTCATGCAGTTTCCTAAAATGATCAATTGCTGAAAATTTATGGTCTTAAAATTTGAATTAAAAATTGCTTTTTGTCGCAATCACAGAAAATATTTGCCAATATCTGAAAATAAGTTGAAAGATTCGTTTGGTTAAATCAATTGTTTTTCATTATGTCAATAAATTATACCATCTTTCCAAATTTTAAAGGGTATTCAATTTAACTTACGATGGTAATATGGCGGTCTGAACGTGTTTTCAGCCACTGCCCATCGCGGAGGAAATATCACAAAATCAGCAATGGCCGCGCCCACTCTATTTGATTGACAGGTGAGCACTGTGAATATGGAGGGGTCAATATGGTCGAAACTGACAGAGTTGATGACGCAGAAACGGCTGAGGTCGTATTTAAAGGGACTATAGTTTCCACGCCAGGCTACCACGTTGAAACAGGAGTGATCCTAAATAGTTAAATGATCGGCTTATGGCCTATGTGATTAATCACCCCTCCCCATAACGATAACCCCTTTAAACTTAAATTACATGGCGATTTTAAGACTTTAAACACAAGGTGCAAAATGCTGAACTCTTATTTGCTGGAAAAGAATGCTTTTACCAAGAAGTGAACGATCTCTTCTGACAATTGATTTAAGGGGAGATTGTTGACAAGTTCCATCTTATGATGTTCAGCCTGATTTGTGCACAACATTGGTTTGTATGAAAAATAGCACCTGATTTAGGGTCATTGAAAACTAAAATTTTGCTTTAGCGCACATATTAGGGTTCAGCTATCTCACCCCCCTCCCCTCCCTCTCTCTTTCTCTCGGACGAAAACCGGAGACAAGTCCTTTCCTCTATCACCTGAAAACCTGATGTATAAAACTATTATTTTTGCCATTTTTTTGCAAAGTTTTGTTTTATTCAACGTATTCGCGATAGAAAAGTTATTTATAAATGTTTTTTTTAGCTGTTTGGGACCATCTTGCTCAAGTTAACTTTCAAATGACGGCAAATAACCTGGTGTGTTTTGAAAAAGTGTCCCTGGAACTTATTGAAGACCTCAAAGTGAGCATTTGGTACATCTTCAAAGGCGGCAACTGGAGACATGAAGTCCTGAGGGTTGGCTAGACCATTGGAGCCTAAAACCACTCTTAAGTTTCTCAAATATTATGCAAAAGGAAAAAATAATTCAAACTTCTATCAAAATGTTTAATCTGCATGAACAATTTTCATACTTTAGTTTTCTCGGATGGCTATTAGTGTTTGCTTGACCAGACCCGTGAGCTTTTTGAGCGTCCGAGATTTTGATTAAAATTTTCTGGGCTTTTGATTCAACTTCGTTAGATTTGAAACATCTTTGAGGTCAAACGCTAACCGATGGGTCCCAGGTCGGGAAGAGCGAAGTGATCGTCGAACACTTCTAACACATATCCTCTGCATGTACCTTCACTGTCAACTCGGAACTTCATTCCCATCTGAAACAGGTTTTAAACAGTACTTCAATTTCCATAAGTGAGTTTGGATGCTATACCTGGTACCGAATATCTACCCCTACTAAAAAGCTCAATAAGCTCTGTAATGAGCCCTTTCTTTTTTTAAATATGAAGAAATAGCGAAAACAATTAGCAATCTTACTGCTATCAACTGGAAAATGTGTTTAACAACTGTTAAACTTCATTTGAAAAATGTTGATATTTTGTTGAAGTATCTAACCTGAATGACAACTATTTCATTGGGTCTGACTTCCATTTTGCCGAACTCAGTTGTTATCTTGAGGATTCCCATCTGAGGCACTGAAAGCGAAGAAAGCACACTCAACAGCTCAAGAGTTGGTGTCATATATATTCAGGAGCGCATTCAAGTGGGACGCCCCCCTCTCTCAGGGATTTGCACCCTAGACCACCCAAAGGGTCCCCCTTTTGTTGCTATTTTAAGATATTCATTTTGGTCGACAGGCTCTTAAAATTTTCTTGAGTCATCTTAGGTGCCAATAGATATACTAATTTTGAGGGGGCAGCACGAACAGAAGAAATGCATTTTTTGGTCCAAAGTTTTCAAAAAGTGTCTAAAAACGTCCTTTTGTGGCCTGTTTTCTCAAAAACTTGCCTTCGGCACCAGAAATTTAGTCAAAATAATCATAATAATAATAATAATAATAATAATAGTAATGTAGTTCCTGCGAATCGCAGAGGATCTATCAGTGGACCTTAACAGTCCTGTCGAGAGTAGTCCATTTTAATTATCTCCCCACATTCCAGACTCTTTTTTTGCGACTAGAACTTTCACGTGGTACCACTATTGCAGCCAAGTTTGGTCAGGTTGTGGTAGACCTGAAGCTAGAGGTCAAGTGAGAGCTCGTCCTCACACACTATCATTGCCATGGGATAGGATCGAATACACGATCTGACTATTTCAAATTGAACGCCTTACCACTAGGCGATTTCAAATAATGTCTTTGAGAGCCCAAAAAACTTAGCAGACCTAAAAATAGGTCGGCAAAATTTTCAAACTGCTCCCTCCCCTCGACAAAAACTTAGATCCGTCTTGTCTATAATGACAGTTTTTAGTCAAATAGTGTCTTTGAGAGAGCTCAAAATTTAGTCAAAATAGTGTCTTTGAGAGGGCTTAAAAGTAAACTGGGCCGACCTAAAAATAGGTCGACATAGTTTTCAACCTACTCAGGGGCGGATCTAGGATTTTCTCGAAGGGGGGCGGATTTTCAAAAAATTTTCAAAAATTTTGTCGACCTTTTTTTTTAGGTCGACCGAATTGATTTTTCGAGCTCTCCCTAAGCTGGTTTCTGTTTTGGCCAATTTTTCTGCGCTGTAGGCAAAATTTTGAAAAACAGTCCAAAAAAGTCATTTTAGGCACTTTTTGGAAAATTTTGACAAAAAAAATCGCGTTTTTTCGGCGCGCGCTCCCCCCTCAAAATTAGTATATATTGGCGCCAAAGGCGCGTTTAAACAATTTTAGGGTTGGTCGGCCAAAACTGGAATTCTTAAAAGTGCCAAAGGGGGGACCCTTTGGGTTGGCAGGGGGTCGAATCCCTGAGGGAGGCGTTCGCTACCCCGCCCCTTCCCTAAATCCGCCCCTGAACCCTCCCCAATAGAAAAACCCAGATCAGCCCTGTCTATAATGACAGTTTGTGTTGCTTACCTATCAAAAAGTCACCATCTGAATTGTAGAATGCGCTGAAAAGAAAATTTTATTTGAAGTACAAAAGGCAAAAAAAGGCATTGATTCTCAGAATAAAGTTCGATTGATAGCAGTCAAGAGAAAAGGTTTCACCACCTGTCAATCATGGGCTGATTGAATGAGTAGATGTAAACACATGCACCACTTCGTGTCTTCGGATCACCAGCGCCACACACTCTCCTCAACCCCTGACAATATTAGATATTTTGCGTGATCTTGATTTCATAAATGATCTTGATATATTGCATTATCGTGGCAATATTTTCCATTATCAGAGAACTAAAGGATTCCCAGTTTTTAGGACAAATCCTCTTCTCGAAAATTAATTCGATCTACCTGTACAAAGTTTTGATTGTTTCCACATTTTTCTGGCAGTTTGAATGGCTTCCATCGCAACTGAAACAGACAGAAATGTCTGGTCACCTCATTTTGGATATGAAAGTCCTCATGTTGAAATCAAAGAAAAAGAAAACGTGGGGACATCGGCTAACGTAAATTAACTGCTGCAAACCATGGTTTGTATTTTATCTGACAACTGAGTGGAAACCAACTATGGTTAAGGGTAGTTTAGCGCTGAATTAGAAACAATTTGAAAAAGATTTTGGTGGTGAAAAACCCAAGAGCACAGGGGCGGATTCCGAATCCCCCCTCAGGGATTCGACCTTCTGACGACCCAAAGGGTCCCCCCTTTGTACTATTTTGAAATATCCATTTTTGGTGACGAACCCTAAAAAATTTCTAAAGGCGCCTTAGGCGCCCATATAGACTAATTTTTTAGGGGGGAATGCCCGCCGAAAAAATGCAATTTTTCGGTCATAATTTACCAAAAAGTGCTTAAAAACGCCTTTGTTGTCCTGTTTTTTCAAAATTTTGGCCGGAAAGTTTGGCCAAAACAGGGACTTTTTAGTGCTTTGGGAGAGCTCGAAAAACAATTTGGTGACCTTATAAAAAAGGTCGACAAAAATTTTGAACGTTTTTTGAAACCCCCTCCCCTCGAGAAAATCCTAGACCAAAATCCTAGAACAATCCTACACCCCTGCAAGAACAAAAGATTTTTCAGGCGTGATTCAGATTGGGACTTGTTGCTTCAGTGAAGTTTTTTTAGAGCAGAGAAATTGAATTTTATCAAATAAAGCCGGTTGCACAGAATTTTCCAACCATATTCCTGAAAAACTAGAAATAACTGCAAAACTACGAAAAAATCTTTTTAATGTCGTTTTTTGCACGCGATGTAATGAAAAGACCTGAAAAAATAGACATATTTGATGGTCACAACAAGGTAGAATGATTGGACAACAGTTTTTTCTTTGAAAATTTTGGTAGCTAGTTTTGCAAAGAAAATAAAATAAAAGAAAAGGGAAAAAAATTAAAGCACACCCGACTCGAAGACCAAAGTTCCTCTCCATTTTAATAGTCGGAAAAATAATCTTTTCCATAATTTATGCTCAGATTCCATGATTACTCTCTTCAGAATATTGGGTTATTTGTACAGCAAACTGTTAGTCATATTATTTCATCTATCTGAATAGTAGAACAACCAATGAAACTTTTAACGACATATCTAAATCAGAATTTTAGTGGAGCTCAATCTGCTTCATACTTGTGTGGGAGGAGTGGGTTCTTTTTCTTCGATTGAGGCTATGAGGTCTTCCAATTCTTCATCTGCCCTTTGGAAAGGGTAATGCATCACTGATGGTCTTACTCGGTACAAGTAGCTAGAAAAATTAATCATAACCTCACGAACTATTCATTGAAGAAAAATAGCATTAAAATAACAAAAACAAAGCCCTGAATGATCGGACTGCCATTTACGGTCTTTCAACCAGTCTTTGAAAACATCATATAGAAAAAAAAGAAAAAAAGCGGCAGAGTTAAAAAGTCGAAATTGGTCTGTAGAAAATAACCTCGTCAAGCACAAATTATATGTCAATATTTTCAAATGTTGGAACACAAAAAATAACAAAAGAGGAGTTTAATAAATAAAATCATTTCTAATATAATGATTCTAGGCCGAAGCAATAGTTTTGAAGAAATATTAGCTAACTATTTTTGAAATTCTTCTGCATCAGAAAACTTAATTTTGTAATCAATAATTTAATTTCGAACACAAGAGCCAGTAAGCTTATTCGAACTTCCTGCTGAAAGAGTCTCAAACACTTTTCTATTAACTTTATTCTAAAAGTAAAAAGTCATAAGAAAGTGAAAACCATTTGGGCAAAACTTATTGTGAAGGTTGGAAGAGCGAACAAAGCTGATCCGTTCATAGACTTGGCGCATCTTGATCTTCAAAATTAAACTATCAGTTAAGGACGGAAAATACTTCAAGAAATAGACTGAACGGCTATTGCCCGTGCTGACAGGAAATAAATTAAAATCATTTTTTGGACACAATACAGAAAAGGAATAATCAGGGGCGGATCTAGGATTTTCTCGAGAGAGCGGATTTTCAAAGATTTTTTTTTTGAAATTTTAATGACTTTTTTGTAGGTCGACCAAACTACCCGCAATGAGGTTTCATGGATAATAATTGATTATAATGGATTATCATGGTCTGTCTCCATAAATTTCTACAATCATCGATTATAATGAATTAATAAGCGATTATAAAACAGTAGAAATCAATGTAATCCATTATAATTGATTAAAATGGATTATAATGGATTACACTGAATTATAATAGATTATAATGGATTATACTAGATTTTTATGAGTAAGAGTTTGGCGGCAACAAAAATGCCTATTGTTTTTTAATTGTCTTTTTATACTTGTCTCCCTCTTGTCTTCACTTACCGCCAACCCCCTCCCCACCATTTTACTCAACATTTACCATAAAAATACGTACGGGGAGTAGATGTGTGTGTGTGTGGGGGGTACGGTACGTGGGTAGGGGTGCTAGGTGGGTGAGGGGGGCTAGGTGGCAGGGTGGGTAGGTGGGGGTGGCTAGGTGGGGGTAGAGGGGCTAGGTGGGGGTGGCTAGGTGGGGGAAGGGAGCTAGGTGGGGATGAGTGGGTGGTTAGGGGGGTGAGGTTGGGTAAAAAAATTATGGTTTCGCAAAGTTTAACTAACTGCTAACTGTGAGTAGGTTTAGAAACCGAATATGCTGTGAGTAATGCAGAAAAAGGTTTTTTTTTGCAAAATCTATAGATATTATATTCCATTAAAATGCCTTTAAATGGATTATAATTGATTTTTTTTCTGTAAAAATAATGGATTATAATCGATTGTGTGGTCCCAAAGTGTAATTATTATCGATTATAATGGCAACATTTTGACCACGAAAATCAATCGTTTATTATTCATGGAACATCACTGCGGCTGATATTCCGAGCTCTCACAAATCAATATAAAGATACAATTTTTTCGAAGTTTTCTGTGCCGCAGGCGAAGTTTTGAGAAAAAAAAAACAGACCAAAAAAGCGATTTTGGAAAACTTGACTAAAAAATGAACAATTTCTGTCTATTTGTTTATATTAAAAAAAAGTTAGATCTGGAAGCACTATCAGTTTTTGTGAGAAATGCGAGCTAGCCTCGGCTGCTTGTTTATGCAATCAGTTTTCTGAAATAATATTTGAAGTTAACTACCTTCTTTTGTTGTTGACACGTGGAGCTGTGAATGCCGATCCTGACAACTGCTCGGCATACAGTCCGTATGGACATCTCTGAGGGTTGTTCTGCCAAGCAACAAAAGTTTTGTATGCTAATGGGGTGTAGTTTTGACGGTTCTATCATTCAGCTGATGATTTTGATTTTACTTGGAATAAAAATTTTAAAAAAAAAGTTAACAGCGCAATTTAAACTGCTGCAATTACTTTTTTTCAATACATCCGCTTTTGATACAGAAGATATCATCCTTGATATAGAAGATAAAATGATATCACTCTAATTTTTAACTGCTAAGTAATGATTGCAAAACGCTACCTGTTTTTGAAGTTTTTAAAACGATACAAGCAAAGCGCCAGTTCTGTTCAGGAGTCATTATTGGTATAACTTAAGGTGGTTTATTAACTGACCTGGCCCTTAGGCAACGAGCCTGGGAACTCCGGATGCTCAGATTCAAAATGATTACCAAAACCAGACATGTATTTGAGCTCTTCACTTTCAGCGCTGGTCGAAATTTTGACATATTCCGTCATTTTACTTCAAGTTTTCAAATTATTTTCAGTTTTTTTTTATCAGCAATAAGTTCTGAGCGATTCAAAATTCACCAAAGCTTCGTTATGAACTAATTGTAACGATGCAGTTCAACAGACTGATTTCAGTGTTGACCCATTCGGCGTCATACTCTTAATCTCAGGCATTAAGAGGAGACCCACCTCTTAAGCTGAAAAACAACTGAGAGAAACTACTTTCATTGAAGAGGAGTGTCGCAAAGGAGCAAACTAACTCTTCAAGAGTACCTTCTTCTTCTGCAGGAGAAGAAAAGGAGAGGTCTAAAGAAACAACCAACACCCACGTTGACATCATCTGATCTGCCCCCTATACTATAACTCATCTCAACGGTGAAATTTGAGAAATCGGTTTCGATTGTTCATTTGGAATCCCGATGGCTTAATGAGATTGAATCTAAAATTAAAATAAGTTCAAAAGGTTCGCCGCTAGTCATTACCAACAATATGTGATCTTTGGCTGGAGTAGAAGTATTTTTGTGGTGTTAAATCTAATAGAGAAATTGAGTTCAATGAAGACCCAAAAAAGCTTGAATCCCTTGAATGCCGTTTTAGTGGTTGTGTTATTGTTCCGACTTTCGATACAAAAGTAACGGAATATTTGTGCTCGGGGTGGGTTTTTTTTTCTTCAGACAAATTTCAACTTTTTAACTACCCATTTTTGACGGAATTGTTTTATATCATTCGAAAGGTATTATTGTCCTAAGCTTAAATTTGAAAAGATCTTTTGCCTTTGTTTTTTTTATTAGTGGTTGTGTTAATGTTCCGACTTTCAAAACGAAAGTAATGAAATATTTGTGCTCGAGATGGGATTTTTTTCTTCAGACAATTTTCAACTTTTTAACTAGCCATTTTTGACGGAATTGTTTTATATCATTCGAAAGGTATTATTGTCCTAAGCTTAAATTTGAAAAGATCTTTTGCCTTTGTTTTTTTTATTAGTGGTTGTGTTAATGTTCCGACTTTCAATACGAAAGTAATGAAATATTTGTGCTCGAGATGGGATTTTTTTTCTTCAGACAATTTTCAACTTTTTAACTAGCCATTTTTGACGGAATTGTTTTATTATATCATTCGAAAGGTATTATTGTCCTCAGCTTAAATTTGAAAAGATATTTCACCTGTGATCATTTTTTGTAAAATTACGGGGGTTTAAAGATTGCCATTTTGGCCAACTTGTGACAATTAACGCGCGATATATTTGTTGTTATTCAGCGATATATCCAGCGATAAGTTGTTGTTATTATTGCTCTATAGATCTTAAAAAGCAGTCGAAACATTCAGGGCTTCGCCCTGATACGAGTAGTTTTTTTTTGAATTTTACACTCAGGGACTGGACATGTTCAACGGGGTTTATTTTTTTGTTAATTTTTGACTGAGTAAAAAAATGAATCCAAGCATTTTCTTCGAAAATCGGAGCAACAAGACTGCTCGTATATGAGGGCAAAATTTTATGTTTTGCCCCCCCCCCCCTCAACGTTTCTCATAGAAGTTTTGCTTACAAAAAATGTGATTTATTATCAATTTTGGACAACCAATATCAAATCTAATGTTACAAAAATTTGAGTCAATTAAGTATATAATTTTTGCCAAGTTTATTTTCAGCGATAAATTTCATCGCTTCAAAACTTCGCGTATTGACAATAATAGTTATATTTGAGCAATTTTCATGCTAAGATTGAGCAATTTTAATGCTAAGATGCTGAGACTTATGTTTTATGGGTCGTTCCCCACACTTTCTGCTTTTTTGGTAAAATTTTGGCATATCGAATAGAAAAATATTGAAATTGTGTCCATTTCGGACAATATCAAAAAGTGAAATTTTGAGTCGTACGAAATTAAAACGACCAATTAGCCTCAATTCAATTTGGATCGATTTTGTTGTGCGGGATAATTCGCCACGCATAAATTATTCGCATTGCGCTCTCAGCATTATGAATAAACTCTTCAAAGAGCGCATAATTTGGTCCAGAACATGGCAATTTTAGCAATTTTCAAACTCCCAGAATTTTACAAAAAATTATCGGAGGTAAATTATTTTTCCGACTTTCGATACGAAAGTAACGGAATATTTGTGCTCGGGGTGGGTTTTTTTTTCTTCAGACAAATTTCGACTTTTTAACTAGCCATTTTTGACGAAATTTTTAAATATATTTCGAAAGGTATTGTTGTGCTGAGCTTAAATTTGAAAAGATATTTCACCATGTGATCTTTTTTCGTAAATTTTTGGGGGTGTAAAGATTGCGATTTTGGCTAATTTGGCCAATTTGGGACAATTAAGGCGCGATAAATTTCGGGCTATTAACGCGTAAGCGGAGATTTAATCCGTCTTCGAAATCATTCCAAATTGGTTGAAAGAAGTTGATTTGTTACAAGGAGCGAAATCTATCCTTTTGTACTTTATATGGCGTGTGGGTGGATGATTTTCATAAAAATTTCAAGTTTTAAAAAAAGTAGTTTTTCATTTTGTTTTATTACATTTAACTTTCTAATGTTATTACTGCTCCATAAACCTTAAAAAGCAGTCGGAACACTCAGGGCTTCGCCCTGATACGAGCAGTTTTGCTTTTTCTACATTTGAGCTCAGGGAGTCGATATCTTCAATGGGTACTAAAAAAATTGTTGGAAGTTATTATTTCGATCGGTGAAAATTGACTGAATAAAAAAATCACACCGTGCATATATTCAATTTTCTTGGAAAGTCGTAACAAAAAGTGCGTGTAAATCGAAAGCTGTTAAATTGTAGAAGAACTGATTTTTGAGTTCAGTCTCAATTAAGAAAATGCAGGTTTTTATGCGTGGCAATTTAGTACGAAAATTAGTCGAAAAACTCAGGCTTTTGGACATATTTTGAGTTATTTTTTCAACACAAACTAAAAGGGCTTAAATTTGATACCATACTAAAATTTTCTTTGATCTAACCAAATTTGGATGAAAATTGTATAAAATTAAAAAGTCATCTTATGAGTTTGAGCAGTGCTGCACAATATTTTCATCTCCTCATCGAAATTCTTTGAATGAAAACCGCTTAGAATTGGTCTTAATGTCCCAAAACTTTATCCATTTGCAGGGCAACTACGCTCTGTGAAAACGAATATGAAGTCCTTATAATTGATAAAATTGTAACAAACAAATTTCATTTCATAATCATCGTCTTAGTTCTCCATCTTCGGTCTTACATTTTCTAGACAAAAGCTGACGTTTTTGAACCTTAATTCGATGAAAATTATGTAGAAACTACAGCATCAAATAAAGATGTACTTATCAACAATTTATCCGCCCAACTCGCTTTTTTGTTCCCTCCGTGCTCAATAAATCCCTACTTCACGTTGATCAAGTTTGCTCGAACTCAATTTGGAAACGCTGTTCAAAAATGGTTGCTTTTTCTATAGAAAAAAACACCCTTTTGAACTTTCTTCATAAATCCGATTGAGAATAAGCTGGCCAAATTAGCATAGCCAAGCACCCAAAACTTCAACAAAAATAATAGAAGGTAAAATACCCTCCTTAATTTTTATAATTGCCTTTGGGAGTTTAAAATCAGGAAATCGATAGCTTTATCGTGGTAAAAAACTTTGCCGGCTCAAAAAAAAATGTCAATCTAAGCCTACATTTTTCGATAACTTTAATTTCTTAAAATTAACAAATTGTTTGAATTTATTTCCCTATTTAAAATCAACTTCGAAAACCTTAATCTGAGACTATTTACATGCGTGATAGTTCCGTCCCATGTTTCGACTAACGCATAGATTATGTAGCGATATTGACCAGCTCAGGGCGAGTTCCAAAATAAATTGAGGTACACAAATTTTTTCCCAGTGTTGCGCTATGAAAAGCGACAAAGATTATTACTTCAGACATTGCAAGAAGCAGTCGGAACTGATACGAGGCATTTCCATTTTTTTTATCCTGAATATTTTGATAACAAAGCTCATAAATTAAATGATATTTAAAACAGTAGGTAAATTGGAACTTTTCGAAACGTACCAATAGCTGGGCGGGATGCGATTTTAAGAAAACAAAACATATTATGATTGGGAAAAACGAATACAACTCTTGGATAGTTTGCAAGCTTCTCGAATCTATTTTCACGGCTAAAATTTTTTAATAGTGAATTTTTCATGGAGTTTTCACCTCAGTTTTTTACTATTCCGAAGAAAAAAGCCATGAAAATGTTCAGTATGGACGGAGAAAGTCCAAATTTTTCGATCCTTCTATCGTTCTATGGATACACTTCAGTATTTAAGGAGAGGCGTCTAGTCATGCTTTAACCATCATCTATAATTACGTATTTATACTTTCTGATCTACAAAAAATCTATATTATCAAAAGTATTTCATGCGTATAATCAGTTTCAAGAGGAACTAAAAATCCGTTCATAAACGATTGCACTAATACCAATTGATTTTTTAACGCTTATCTTTTAATTCAATCAATTCAGCTGCTGTTGTTTTCGCGAATTAATTACCACCTAGCAAGAGTTCTTTCAGCAAAATAATGATCCTTGATTTGACTGCTTTGTGTTTAACCATCATACAAAAATCTCATTCAGTTGATTGGCGTGACGGGGCGTGTTTTCTTTTTAAAAGAATTTTTTTGTTTCTTGCGGGCGTAATAACGAGACCGAATACAATTCTGCGTTTGTTTACCACTAAAATTGTTGTTCCAAACTCTTAGAAGTGCAGGAATTCTTGTGCCTGGGTTGGTTTTATTCTCCAGCAAAACTCAGCCTTTAAATAAGGAATGTCCTGAGCTTTAAACTGAAAAGATGTTACAAATTTGACAGTTTTTGTTCCGACTTTCGTTACGAAAGTAACAAAATTTTTGTGCTCGGGGTGGTTTTTTTTTCTTCAGACAAATTTCGACTTTTTAATTAGCTATTTTTGACGGAATTTTTTATATCATTCAAAAGGTATTTTTGTCTTAAGCTTAAATTTGAAAAAAAAAATATTTTTCTTGTGATCATCTTTTCTTAAGTTATGTTGGTTTAAAAGTGCCATTTTGGCCAATTTGGGACAATTAACGCGCGATATGTATGTCGCGCTATTAACGCGTAAACGGAGATTTAAACATCCTTAGAAATCCTTCCAAACTTGTTGAAAGAAGCTTATTTGTCATACTTTTGAATTGTTATTCGGAGCGATATTTATCACTTTGTACTTTATATGGTTTGTGGGGGATGATTTTTACAAAAAATCTGGGGTCATTTTACTTATTCCGCCCAAATTTCTTATCTTTGTGATTTAGTATTTTTCAATGTATAAATGCAGAAAACAAAACACTGATCGCATTGATTGGCTTGGTTAATACAATGTGATCACTTTAGCCGATTTCAAATTAAGCCGAAGAAATTTGAGCAAATGAGAAGGTGGTCATTTTTTTTGTATTATTAAACTGTTTTTTTCTGGTCTGCGATTTCTTCCTTTCTTTTTCAATTCTGAGCCCTGTTTGCAAAATACAGTTAAATTGCTATTCAAGCATTCTATTTTTCTAGCCAATTCGGTTTATTTATAAGTCGACAGAAAATTTTGAACAAACATTTTGAGATGCTGCTGAAATTGGATTGGCTTATTTTAGCCAATTACATTGAAGCAAAATTGTTTCAGTTCAAGTTGTTGAAACATCGATTTTTGGGCGGAATAAGTAAAAAGACCCAAAATCTCAAATTAAAAAAAATCATTTTGTTTTATTACATTTGATTTTTTCATCTTTTGACTGCTCCATAGAACTTAAAAGACAGTCGGAATATTTAGGGCTTCGCCCTAATGCGAGCAGTCTTGTTGTTCCGACTTTTCTAACGAAAACAACGGAATATTTTTGCTCGGGGTTAAATTTTTGAAATAGAGCAAAGATTTTCTCAAAATTTTTCATTTCGCACCTAATTTCAGAGCAAATTTTTGATACTATTCATTTTTGATGTAATTTTGAATCTGTTTTCTGTTCAATTTAGACTATGTGTTCATTTTTTGAATGCTATGGGGCATTGAAAACTGCCAGTTTTGCTCGTCCGGGCTATTTAAGGCGCGATACGTTTCGTACTATTAATGCATGAGCGGCGATTTAATCTGGGTCAGAAACTGCTCGGAATGGCATGTGGCAATCTTTTTAGACACTTTAAAAAGTTGTTGTTAGAATCCAATTACAATGAAAAACAATGTTTCTCAATCCAGGGTTAAATTTTTGAAAATTTAACTGGAAATAAAATCTTAACAGGAACATCTTAAATATGATCCCACCTTTGATCCATGAGCTAGTCAACATTTTAAGAAAAAACCTACTACTACTTATTTCCTTTCCTTCACTTAGTGAAGTGGCCGGATCAATTTATGTTGGATAAGATGTAATATAAAACCTTTAAAAAATGGCAGGACTAGAAATTGCACCAAAAACGGCAGCAAATTAAGCTAAATAAAGGTTCTTGATTTCAGGCCGGCGTACCAATTCTCCGTACGCGGTCATTTTTCATTTGCGATCAACTGAGACGTATTAGTACACAGAACAGCGGGCCATACAATGAACATGAACAATACAAAATTTCTTGAAATGACAATTTTTTGCAACATTTGATTCTGAGTAGAATCAATTTTGACACTTTTATGAGACCAGTAGCGTGCCTTAATACTTCAAATTTTTATTCAATTTTTATGAAAAGCTATCTTCTTTTCCAATTATATAAATTTTATGATTTCGTTTTCTTTTTGTACAATTGAACTTATCAAAAATATAAATTCAGTGTCCATAAATCATTCGAGTTTATTGGTACCAAAAATAACAAATGAACACTGTTTGTTTCTTGTGAAACAAACTTCTTTTTATTTTCATGACCATACTCAATAATTTTGTTGTTTCAGCCGCTGATATTTAACACGCTCCATAAATCAAACCAATTTTGATGTTTTAAGAAAACATCGTTGAAAAATCGCCGTCTATTTCAAAACTGAACTCAAAATCCACCAGCACACTGAATCATTTTTAATGACGAATTATTACCTGTGGTCGATTGAAGCTAGCCATAAAAGCACAGTAAAACTGCAGAAAACTGAATGACAATCTGCAAACAAGGACTATACTGCAGTTTGGATTAAATTAAGAACATGATTTCATTTTTGGTCTAATCGTTTTAAAATCAGGGATTAGTTTTAATAAGAAAAGAAGACGCCACTTTAGTGATTGCTTGCGTCAGAAGAGAAATTTAGTTATCAGTTTTCCATACGTCATTTTTATCGTCTTCTTTATTTTTTCACCACGAGATGAGTTCACTCGATGAATCGAGTACAGATTTGCACTTCGATTCACAACAAACGCCATTTATTTCGAAGAAATCAGCCAGCAGTTCCAAAGTAGAACCAACCGACATTCTTTACAGGTAATAAGATAGTTTGATAAAATTTCTTCATCACTTGAAAAGAAGAAGAGATTTTACCGTTTTATGATTGCCTTGAAAATTTTAATTTTCATCTTTCATTTCATTTGAAACACGAGAAATCTAGTTTACAATTAAGATAGTACAAGATAAATTATCCACAACTCCACTAGGGAAAGGACTAAAATACGAGCTAATCACTTCTTTGCGTAGAACCAATTTTTAAGGCGCTACTTGAACATCAGCCGGTTATTTGAATTTAATATGAAACCATTTTAAAACCATCTGTTTATCAAAACTTATGGGATTTAACGTTATAATTTTCAACAATTTTTTTTTCAGAACTACAGTGCTGATTTAAACTATCCGGACAATAAAGAATTAAACTTGAAAATTGAAGTTACTTCAAAGTGTTGAGCTTGAAGTTATCCAAAAATAAACGTCACTGAAAATAAGCAATCGTTCTGCAAGTGAGTTAGAACCGATGTGGTTAACTCATAGAGTAATTTCGGATAGGGTACACCGTCTGCTCGTCACGCTATCTTATTTTCGGCCGGATAGATTCGTGCAACTTCTTAGTCTAATACCGATCCTAATCTTACTCTTATACTTACTAGTCTCAGGGTCTTTAACTAGTCTCTGCTAGGCTCAATAGATCTAGGGTATACTGGTTTGTTGCGGCTGCTGAAGTTCTCTCGGAGAGACAACTAATTTCTAAGTTAAATTCAAATCTCTCTGGTGCCGAAATTACAAGTAATTTCAGCACATACAAATAAGTGGGTTGTTAGTTAGATGGATCATGATTGGTTAATATTAAATACTTTACAGTGGTAAAATATCTAATTTATCCAATCATAAAATATAGTTTAGATCAGGTTCCACCCATCCGGGTTTTACAGAGTTTTTTAGAATTATCTTTCTGCAATTCAAAGGATGGATGATGAACGTTGGTATTGGGCGAACATCGTATCTTCGTGTATCTTCTTGTGACAACGACTGTGTTTCCCAACGAAATCAATCTGATTTCAAAATGGTTTGCTATGACGGGTTTTTCTGTATTATGTAGAGAACTTGTTTTGTGTTCAGCCGCGTCTGGGAATGGCGTGGAGATTGTGCGTGGAGGGGATGCCTTGTAACTCGGATCTGTACGTATACTTGAACATCGAGGTGGTCATTGGTCTAGTTCAATGAAGTCCTTTTCTGCGAAGTCAAGTCGTACTCTAAATCTTTTGAGTTGTGATTGTGGACGGCATTTTGGTTGTGGTTGGCCATTCTTTTTCGAGTGTAGTGGGATCACTTTGTCTTTGGATGTTCGTCTTTGTTGTTGTATGCTGATCTATATACTGCAAAGTATGTTTTACATTTTATAAAATTTTTATTAGTTCAATGTTTTAATTATGATTTTGATTAGTTGTTTTCACAAAAGCTTTTTGTTTTATCATTTTCGTTGGGTTTACTTACCGTGTTAATTTCGTTTATGTTTTGTGCAGTTTGTGTAGAATTGATGGGTTCAATGTAATAATTGTGAAGAAGTTCCAACTGATTTTCATATATGTGTGATGTAAAAGGTTGTTCATATATAATAGGTTCGTAGTCGTTTTCGACTGCTATCATATTGATGGAAATGGTATTTTCTGTATCACTTTCTGTGTCTGATGATTCACAGTTTATTTGATTTAATTGTAGTTCGTTATTTCCTGTGTCATCGATTCCTGGGGGGTCTGATGTTGTTTCTTCATTTGATTGTACTTGATTAATTTGTCTCTGATGTTTTGGTGTACTATCTCTGTGTCGATGTTTAGAATTATCATAATGGTTATTATTTCTATGTGGTGATTGAGAATAATTTCTATATCGATTATTATAACTTGAATGTCGATTTTGTGAATTATTCCGTGATCTGTTTTGATAATTATTATTTGATCTGTGATAGTTTGATCTGTTATATGAGTTATTTCTTGATCGGTTGTTCGGGTAATTCTGATTTCGATTGTTCGAATAACTTCTATTTCTATTGTGTGAATAGTTTCTGTTTTTGTTATATGATGAGTTTCGTGATTGATTATTGGAATAGTGTTTATTCCTTGGGTTTGATTGGGATCTGGATCTAGAAACAAATTGTGTTGCATTGGAATTTTATCTTGAATAGTTATTTCGACTATTTGATCGATTATAATTATTTTGTGAATAAATCTGTGTATTTCTTCAATCTGGTGATCTGCCTCTATAACTTGAGTTATATGGTGATTGATTCCTTGTGTAACTGGTGTTGTTCGGAAGTGGTTTTCCTGAACTGTTGTTACTGTATATGTTTTTGTTTGGTAAGTTTTGATCTTTCTTCATATATTGATAGAATGATTTGTTTGGTTCTCTATGTTTTTGAGGTTTGTTCTGGTTATCTTGTTGTTTTTGTCTACATTCAGAGATACTATGTCCGTATCGTCGGCAATAATTACACCATTTTTTGAAAGATGGTTTACCTTTAAAATTTGGGTGTTTTTCATAAATATTCAGTGATTTTTTCAACTAGATCTGTATCTGATTCCTGTATGTTACTGATGTGCGTAGTGTTTGTTTCGATTCGATTAACATACTGTAGTTTTAGATTTTCTGTTTCTTCGAGTTTCATTGTGATTTCCGCTTGTTCTAGTTTGTCTACTAGTTTTCGAAAATCTAAATCTGGCTCTTGGATTGAGGAAGGATGAGATGCTCTCTTTTTTATTGCTATTTTTCTTAATTGAGGTGTTAAGGTCATCATTAAAATTTCTGTCATTTTTGTGTTTTCATAGTCATGTGTATTTAATGAATATGCTTTTCGAACTAGTGTTTCGATGCGTACTGCTAATTGTTTGATGGTTTCATTTGGTAATCTGCGAATTTCATTACATAAAACTCTTTGGTGTTGTTTATTTCTTTCGGAGTCAAACACTTTTGAAAATTCTTGTGTAAATCTTTTCCAATCTGAATTTATTTCTATAGGTAATACTGAAAACCATTTTTGGGCTGCGCCATCTAAGGTTGTTTGTATCAACGCTGTGCGTCGATGTATCCAATTTTGATGTAATGGTGTATTAATTGGTCCAGGTCCTATATTTAAAATTAAATTTGCTGTTACTGCATTTAAATAATCTTCTACAGAATATTCAGGATCTGTTCCTGTGAAAACCATTAGTGGTTTATTTGATGTTATTGATGATCCACCCATAAGGTATGGATTCATTGTCATTTGTAGTGATTCTGCGGCATTTGGCATTTGTGAAAAATTTGACAGGTGATTCTTTGTTATTTCGTGTTGTTGAAGATAATATGGGAGTGGTATTTCGTTTTGCATTTGAGTTGGTTGGTACGAGTGTATGATCGTTGGATTTTGTGGTTGAATTGGTTGAAAAGATTGTGTATTAGTTGGATTTTGCATTTGTATTGGTTGTTGATTCCGTGTTTCTGTTGGATTTTGAGAAAAAATTCTATTATATGTATAAGGTTTTTGTGCTCCTTGTCCGCGATATTCTTGGGTATACGGTGCAAAAATATCTGGTTGGAAATAATCGTCATCAGATGATAAGTAATCCGTATGATGAGGTGTTTGCTTTTTATTTTTATTTTGTTGAAAAAATGGGTAATTTTCACTGCGATCCTGTGGGGGATGTGAATTAGTTTGAAAATTTACTGAGTTGGCTGTTGTCATTGGGTAATTCCAATGATGAGAACTTATATGATTATTATCAGGTTTTCGTGGGGGATAATTTGTTTTTGACGAATGTGCGTAGTTATAATTGTGTTCTGCAAAAGTGTTTCTTGTGAACGTTCTTCGTGTTTTTGACGGTACTGTCGTAGGTCTATATGTTTGATAATCCATATGTGAATATTTTGGAGCAACCGAAGGTTTAACGGTTGATTGTAAGGTTATTTGTGCCGTTGAAGTGTTTGTATTTTTTGGTGTTGTTAAATTTGGACGTATTGGTGAAATACTTTGTTGTGTAGTTGTTGTTGTTTGGACGATTTCTTCATTTATGAAGTGTGATGGTGTTTGAATATCTTGTTGTGTAAGATTTCTAGTTCCATTAAGGTTTTCATTGTGTATGACGGTCAAATTTAAACTATTATTTCGTGTATCCGTGTATCAGGTAAAAATGTATTGTAGTTCAATGGTGTTGCATCAATGGTCAGTGGTACTACTCTCACATAATCTCTTTGATAAGTTATTGTACTTATTGCTTGACTTGAGATTGATTGTGGGATATTTATAAATGCATGATGAGACCATTCAGGGTCCCAAGCGTAATCTGACTGTTCTGTGATGACAGTATCATCGTTTGGATTTTGAGGTCTAAAATTTTTTCTTGCTTGTGAAATTAAGTCTATATTATGTGTGAAATAATCTTTTATAAACCATGCCAAAATTTTTTGTAAATCATGTTTTGTGTGTTGTGAAACATCGTCTTTAGTGAAATTTTTTTTGATTATACGTAGAAAAGTTGAAAATAATGTAATTTCATTTCGTACTTTTATATGTTTGGAGGTCTCAGTTGGTGAGATACTTTGAATTTCTGTTTTTTCTAATATTGAAATGTAGCTATATATTATTGCAAAGACTTCGTTAGTGAATATAGAATTTGCTCTTTGTGAGTTATGGTATTGTATGCTTTTAATGTATTCTAAGAATACTTTTGAAAATTCTAATTCAAGATCGTCTGTTTGAATTACATATTTGCGATGATTCGGATTTGGTGTGCTGAATTCTATGGTGTAGATTCCGTATTGTTGTGTTAAATTACATATATCTTTCAGATAATGTTCAATAATTTGTCTTTTGATTTTTACATCTGGGAATTTTGCTTTGCATGGACTGATTCCGGGTTCAAACAAATTTAGGAATAAATTCTTGCAAAATATATGCTGCCCTCTATCATTGGGTGCATCTACGTAGAAGGGGTAAACTTCTTCGTCATCTGGACTTTCGTCACTTTGAGTGTGGCTGTGGCTCATTTTTTCGTTTAATGACT